ATATTAGCAATTAAAAAATCACAAGCTAGAGAAAAAATTAATATGATCTTATCACCTTCATTTATCGTTCCAAACTCATGGTCACCATGAATGCTTTTAAAATCATATACCTCTCCACTAATTTGTTCATTTAATTCTCCTCCAATAAAAACTCTTTATTTAAGAGGTATCTTTTGTATTAATTCTTCTAAGTCATTCCAAAATTTTAATTTTGAACTCATATCCAAATCTATTTGATGAGCATAAGCACTTATAATATTAATAATCTTAGTATCAACAACAATCTTTAAAGCTATAATTCTATTTCAAATTATATTAATTTTTATAACATTATCCTTTAAACTCTTATCTATAATCACACTTGTACCATTTTTAGTATGACTCCTATCCGAATATCATAATTTAAATCCTAAACTATCAATCTCCTTCGCTTTCTCTCCAACCCATTTAGTATCTTGAATACATAGAATATTTATCTTCCTATGAATCATAATATCTATTAATTCCATTAATTTTCATTTAAAGGAATCTATATTCTAAGTTCATATTCTATTTTAGTTTCATGGGCTAGCTTTTTTGCCCACATCCACCCTTGATGTGGAACCCTTGCCTATTTAATACTGCATCCGGGCATCGGTGCAGCGGCCTTTACACACTTGTCACTGTATTTAGGCCATACAACGTGTTGTTTCCACGGGATGCCCTAACATTAACGCACTTTTTTAAAGGATTCATGTCATGATTATTCAACAAGTTTTATTTTGGCTCTCGACTACCTAACGCAATCCTTCACTTTTCTCATCCAGGACTTGGGACTTGGCAACAGCGGTGTTATCATGATACCAAAAATGATAATTGGCTCATTTTCATAGACTACTAGGCTTCAAATAATATCATTGTAAGAATGTACACTACTTTTGTCTAGTTGATTTATTGGCCCATTTGATGTATCCAAATATTTTCACCAAATTGGATTTAAAACTTGTCCACCATCAAGTTCAATCCAGGAGTAAGACATGTAGAAGATTGTGTATGGGATGGGACATGGACTATATGAGTGGATAGTGATGGCATTTGGTATCTATAATTCTATGATTCCCATGAATTATATTATGAGATCTTTCATGAAAAACTTTGTGATTAGTTACATTGTTGGCATCTTTATATATAGTTGAACATGGGTGAAGCACCACACCATGCCCGAAAAGTGTTCAACCTCTAAATAAATCAATTATACTTGAACCACGTGAAGTGTCTCTTTGGTAGAAAGGCCATACTTAGGGTCCAAAGTTGGCAAATTGGAGATTGAGATAGATCTAGACAAGGTGAAAACAATTAAGAAATCGCACATCCTACAAATGTGACAGTTGTTTGCCACTTGCTAATATGTGATGGGGTTTATGCTGAACTTCTCATCTCACCCTTCACTCATTTATAAAGGTCAACCAATTGTCTTAAGAAAACAAACATGAGGACATATTTCTTCTATTAAAAATAAGGGTAAGTGAACACCAATGTTAGCCTTACCAAATCACTAATGTCAATTTAAGGTTGAAGACAATTCATTAGGTTACTATGATGCATCGATACTTCTCCTTAAAGAGGCGTGCAGTGCCCGACATGTATTCGACACGACACGCGTCTGACACTCCGATACATGTCATACATGCAAAAAAGGTGTCCGATTAAAAAAATTATTATATACAAATTGGACTCATGTGTCCGACACGCGTCTTAAATATTTTATAAAATTTTTTAAATATAAGTTCTTGTATTTAAATTTTTATTTATTTAAAATATAAAAACTAAATTTCTTATTTTCTATCCACAATGTCAAATCTATCGTCTACATTCAATACCCCATTCATCGAATATTCTCATTTTCATTTCTCTTTGGCGGGTTGCGATTTTGGTTTCATAACAATGTCCGATGTCATCTCAACATCGACATCTAACGTCATTACAACATTGACATTTCAAAGCAATCTCCACATTAAAGTTTAACACCGTCTTGACATTGATACACGACGCAAGCAATCTCTACAACCACAACTTGACAACTCATCTTTATTTGACATCTTTTTAACATTGACAAATAACACCCTCTCAACATCGATGGCAGATGCCCATTGCATAACATCGATGCCCGACTCTCAATAATATTGTCGTCTCCTCTCTTGATGCCTGATACACGACATCGAAGTCCGACGCTTGACATCCTAATATTTATCATTTTAAGCACAAATTTTAGTTAAATGAATTATCATTTCTAAATTATTTTTAATATTATATTTATTCAATTTTTATACACCACTTTTTAGAATATAAAAATTATAATTCCGTGTCTACCCTTGTTCGTGTCCTACATTTTCAATAATTTACGTGTTTCGTGTCCGTGTTGTTTCGTATCCGTATTGCTATGTCCGTGTTTGTGGCCTTGTTCGTGTTTGTGCATCATAGTTGGGTTATAAAATTGGCTCAACTATAATACGTGGACTTTGGCATCGTTTGGGATAACTTTCATACTGCTTTCTACAATAACTTTCTAGTATAAAAAAATATTGAATGTATCAAAAAATAGTGATCAAAAGCTATCTCAAACGAAGCCTTCATGTGGCATACTACTCCAATATGCTACAAGGTGCTCAAAATAATTATCCAAATTGTGATAAGTGGTTATTGACACTTCATCGAGATGTGAAACATTGACGATAATATCTATCAGGGAATGAAATTGTGGTTCACATCAACCAAAGACCACTTTAGTGCCTTCTGACTCTATCAAAGCTTTAGTAAGCCATACACATGAAATGGATGGTTTACCGACAACGATTCAACTTGATCATCAATACCATAAGTGAGCGCTGAACAACATTGTGGGCATGTATTCTTGCATGCTATTTCTTTCAATAATCATGCTATTTCAACCATGCCAATATGAGTAGTGCATCGACTAATATAGGCCGAATGATGACTTAAATGACGCCATTGAAAGAGCTTAGAATGAGGGTTTCATCTTCAAGGAAGGAATATTTTACAATGAGACTCAATTTGTGTTTTGAAAGGTGGTGAAAAAATTGAAGTGGTAAGAGAAGCACACACCTCCAATGTGGCTGAACACATTGTTTTCATCATGCAACATTTTGTTTGCTGGCCACGGAACATGCTTCACATCAAAACTTTCTAATTGGATGCAATCACTTTATACACTATTGTAGGTCTCAAGTCAATGATGGGACAACTTTATCTGCCATTGCTGGCCTTGAGTCGGACCCAACAATGAATTTATACTCCATGAATTTTTGGGGAGGTTTGCTCACAACCCACACAGATCAAAACTATGCTTTTTGTGTGGTTGCAAAGTTCTCAATACTGATCATCCTTATGACTTAATAAATAAAACATCACAAACCTCCTTTTTTGGCATTTATTTGGACTTATGAAAATAATTAACTTTGGTTCAGATTCTCAATATCCAAAGATATGGGATGAAAGCCTTTCCTACATTATTTATGCATTCAACTATTTAATGCACAATTCCACCAACTGAGGTCCATGTAAGATATGTTTAGGATACATACCTCAATGTCCATTTGATGTCAAATCTACTATTGACGAAACACCATTAGCTAAGAAAAATGATAAAGGTTATGAAAGGATCAATGATTCCTAGGATTGAAGGGTTCATGAGACATGATCAACACCTAGTAGGAAGAAGATATAAAGGAGACCACATATGGATTCACATCAACGAGTATCCCAAAGAAGGCCACAAGCTCAAGCCAATATGGTATGTGTTGTTCAAAATAATCATGTGGATTGGTGAAAATGCATACCAGTTGGAGCTATATGCCTATATTTTTATTTACTTGGCGCTAATGTGGAGGACCTCAATTATTTAAATCTACCATGGTAGGTGATGAGCTGAGAAATCCGACCGCTCTTAATGACTTGGTGATAAGATGAGAGAATGAGTTGGAGTAAGACAAACTATTGGAGGCGAATACTGCTACAACTTGCCAAGGCACTAAGGTGCTTTATCGTATAGGCAAGAAGGAACTACGAGCTTCTAACACTAAGTGGTGCAACTTGGACTTAGGAGCAGCTTTTTTTTCCTTGCCTATTACTAGATTAATCCTCGGTCTACATACATAATGTGCTGGTGTTGTCTTTCCTCATACAATCACTACAGCAAAAGAACATTTTGCTATGTAGTGGTATTTTTATTTTTAATGAAGTTAATGAATTTATGTTTTCTCAGAAGATAGAAATTTATGTTTTATCATAAGATAGATAAATTTTTCTAAGAAGGGACTACTCGCCAAGTCACTATGATGCTTTATTGTATGGGCAAGAAGAGAATACTAGCCTCTTCAAGTCCTAGAATTGCTTATGTTCTTGTTGGCGGATCTCTTTCTAGGAACCTCAAGTAGTTTCAGATAAAAATTAACCACAGTTATACTTTCATTCATTCATACATAATGATAAAACATGCCTAAGAACTTTTTATATGGTAGCGGATCCTTTTATTTAATAACAATAACATTAAGAGGACTTAAAAGGGCCATCATGCCCATGCCCTTGTTAAATGAAATAAACATGCTATAACTTAAAATAACATAATATATAAGTTAAACATTATAATAATTTGCTCTCACATTGATCACTTCAAAGAAGAGTCGGTCAGACTCATATTGAAAAGTTTAGCTGAAGTCTCACTTCAGGTTTTTCTATCACTAAAAATTTTCTTGTTATTTGCATCATAATATGACCTTTGAACTAAAAACTCTTCGTAGTTAGTTCATTACTATAGGATAGCTTCCTTCAAATCTTTTTGTTTATTTGTTGCATTAGTTCTGCATGACAGTTTATTGTTTCACAATTATTATAGTTCTCTTGGCACTCATTTGTATATTATTGAATTTTGCATTTATGATTAACTGATTATTATTATTATTATTTTTTAAAATAGTAATCAGATCAGTAATCTTCATTTGCAGATATATAGAAATGCTACATTAGCATATGTTGCTTCATCCTTGAGATTGGGGGATCAATCATTTTTCTTTGAGGACAGGTTCTACTTGCATTGCTTGGTTCTATCGATTCCTATTTTATTGATCTTTTTTTTTTTGTCTATTTTTAATGTACTTTTTATGAAATTGTGTAGAATATTATTGTCAGTTTTCGTTTGGTTATTTATAGGCCTACGAGTGTCGATGCTCTATTCCTTGGACATGCCCTTTTTGTGCTACATGTTTTGCCTGTAAGTTCTATATTTACGATTCCAATGCATTGATGAAGACTATGTCTGGAAATCATTTTTTAATTGATCCTTTTACATAGTTTGACGCAGTTAAGCTGCAATAATCTATGCTAGCATTGCTATTTATTGGTCTTACTAGTGTATTTTTAGGTGTGAATCAAGGGCCTTCTGGTGTCATCCGAGTTGAAATCTCATTTTAAAATCAGTTATTGTATGTATTCTTTTTTAATTTGGATTGAAAACGAGATCATACAATTCTAGATTTTATGGTGACGTCAATAAATTTGTAAGCATTGGTGTGGAAAAGCAGTCATTCACCTATCTGGATAATTATATTCCTTGCAAACAGCCTGTTTTTTATTCTCTTTCTAGCATTTGCAATGTTCCCAGTTATTCTATTATGCGTGACCCTTGTTATGAATGCACCACCCATGCATATTTACTGAAAAAAAAAAACTAGTTTGAGGAATTTAATGAATAAAAACCAAAATATTGTCTACCCTTAAAATCTTGGACTTTCAATAAGCTTGGTTGACCCATTAAAAACATGATCCCTTTAGTAACGAGGATGTTTAAAACATAACCTTAAAGCATCCGGGTTTCATTCTTACCCATTATAAAAAATGAGAAAGCCAGCGTTTAAACCACAACTTACTCCGCCTCATCTACCCATCAAAATTTGGGCTTCTATGTACACAGGGGATGAGTTGAAGGAAGATTATAGGTTTATTATTGCAATGAAACAAGAGGAACATAGCTGAAAATGGAGGGGACAGACAAGTAGATGTAAGGAAGAGCAGTAAAGAAGTGGGAGATGAGTAGAAGTGGCAGGAAGATGAGTTTTATCTGTAGGAAGAGAAGTGCGGGAGGAAGGAAGAGATATCGGAGGAAGGAGAATATTTATTTGAAAGACTAAAGAGAAGGGGGGAGAAAAATGCGGAGAGAAAGAGGAAGAGATGGTAGGAGGAAGACAAGAGAGAGGAAAGAGGACAAATTGGGATCAAAGTCTTAATGATGAAGGAATAAAAAGAGATGGCAGAAAGAGCTAGGTGGATTTTCTTTTGGCATTCACATGGAAGTTTTCATGAATAGTAATAATCTTGCAACATTGGGTAATTCCGCGTACGACTCTCATCTAGACCATCCATTGGTGGAAAGTCGGATGTATTGAGCAGCTCTTTCTTTAAAAGAAAAGTTTTTCATGCACATTAATTTAGCCAGTTTATAAATCTGTATATCAAAATGATGGTTTGAGGTTTTATTCCATCTATAAGAGGTTTGTCAATACGTTACCAAGCATCAATGGAATACACAACTCTTATGTATTTGTCTTGCCTATAGCAACTTTCGTGTTTATTATATTGGTGACTTCTCAACTTAATGTCTGTTAAGATACCTGAAATTTAAAATGAAATGCCTGGAGTAACTTTAAATGCATAGTAATGAAAGTACTTGTTTGTCACAATTCTTTTTATCATTTCTAATTCTTCTACTTATGATTGATTCAATTTCTGATAAAAAGTTTAATAATGAGCAAAGAACCAATTTTTTTATTGAAAATTGTAATTGGCTCTCAGAAAATTATAAAGCAAAGAATTTCGATGAAATCTTACAAAAACTAAGGTAAAGAACACAATTTGGCACAAGTATAAAATTCCAAAATGAATCAGAATATGGGTTGATAGAACCGTACTTAGCTTCAGAAAATTTAGTATCAAACTCTTCAATTAGTAAAGAAAAATATAAAGCTAATTTTGTGAGTTTAAGTGATTATTTGGCTGGGCACAAGGTGGTAAAGAGGTGAAAAAGAATTTAAACTAAATGAACTTTCTTGTGTTGGTGCAAGCTTTAACTATTGTCTTCATCTTCTACCTTTTTTTCCATGCCTTGTGTTAGTTTCTTCATGAATTTTCTGTAAGTCAATACAATCAAAATTTTCATTCTTTATTTTGCAAGGAAACTTCATGTAATATCAACTGTCTGACATACCATACTCATTTGGATATGTCATTGTCATACAGCTTTGATTTTTGTTTTGCACAACAACAACAACATCAAGCCTTTGTCCCACTACGTGGGGTCGGCTACATGAATCCTTTTCCGCCATTATGTCCTGTTAAAGTCAAATTCTGATTTAAATCTAATAAAAAAAAAATCATTTCTAATATTTTATAACCAAGTCTTTTTAAATCTAATACATGATTTTGTTTTGCACAGTCAAGATTTATTTAATGAAAAGGTTCAATATTATTTTTGTGAAAGATTCAATATTATTTCTCTTGAATACTTGATATATTTCCCCTTTTTGTTTCCTTAAATGTAAAATTCTTTTTTTAGGTAGAGGAAGATTTAAAAAAACTTTTATAACCTATGCCTTCGAACTCGTTTGGTTTTGAGGCTCTAGGAAAAATATTTAAAATCTTTTTTTTTTTTTTTCACTTGATCATTCAAAACTAATGCCTCAATTGATTTAGACATGGTTTTTGAATTTTAACATTTCGAAATCCATTGAGGCTAGGTTGTGTTGCATATGTTTACAGAATTTATTTGAATCTATCCTTTGGCTTTTTGAAATATTTTGTTTGGGCTTTTAGTAGAAATTTTTTAGGTTATGAGATTTGGGACCTAAAACAATCAGACTTTAACCCAAAAAGTAATAAAAATCAAAATAAAGCTTAAAAATCCTGAACTTTTTTTTATAACCCTAAGAACTATGGCACCCATTTCTACCTCATGTCCCGAAAATGCTCGCAGAATCACAGTGCTACAACTTGCATGGCCTCATGTCACAAGTCACAACCCTCATCGGTTCTCCTTATTCACAGAATTGCTGCCGACAGTCCATTTCTTTCAATTCTGCCTTTTATTCATCGCTATTTTCAGGCTCCGTTCTTTGCCCTTCCAATCAACAACGGACTTGCAATAAGCTTTCCCTGCCCTGCAATACACATATAAATATGGTTTTGATACTCATGACTAAGAGTGATTGTTCTATACGTTTTTTGTTAGAGTTTTTTATTTGAAGTATTTATATTTAATTACTTCATTTTTTTTTTATCTTCTACAAGTCCTTGTAAACTACAATGATGAAAGTTAGTGATAAGACAAAATATATTGCTTGGAAGTATAAGTATTAGGTTGAATTGGACATAGAGAAGGTGAAGAGAGGCTACATGCATATCAGATATAAAATTTGCAACAAAATTATCACAAGGGATGTTTAAAGACTAAAGGATCATCTTGAGAATAGTTGATATTGATAGGTGTCTTGTCATGAGCTTTATCTATGGTGCCATATGCAAGGAAAAAAGAATAAATAACAAGGAAATTAGGTGGAGAACAATCAGCTTATAAAGCAATATGGGAATTTATTGATAACAAATGGGACAATAGACTACAGCATGATTTGTAATCAGTTGGTTATTTGAATTCTCTATTTCATTTTGATGGTAGCTTTTTTGAATGCTCGAAAGTTAAAATTAATTTGTATAAATGTATGTAGAGAATGGTAAGCTTGTTAGAAGATTTTGAGAAGGCTGATACGCAACTTGAATTCGTCACAAAAAGGAAATGTTTGGCATGAGAGTGGCCTAATTATCATGCAAAACACATACACCTTGTGAGATGTCTCTCGACTTTATTTAATATTAAACTTATGATTAAGTTTATTAAGTATGTACTTAACATTATTCTAATTTTATTTTTACTAACTTGTGATTTAGAGTGTTGGTGGATGCACTTTGGACATGAAAAACACTAGAATTAAAAGCATTTGAAGTTAGAGTCTTAAGTTTAACATGTTTATCTTTCGCATGTGAACAAAATTATAGCATATTAAACCAAGTGCATAGAAAGAGAAGAAATTGCTTAGTTTTTCTTAGGGTGAGCAAATTGGTTGATGTCATATATAATAAGAAATTAAAAGATAAACACCTCTAATTAACTTCACAGAAAAATGATGAATTTTTGATGATTCGCCATCAAGTGATGAATGTGTGGTTTATCAAAATGAGGAAAAGAAATGAAGAAAGTGTTGTTAGACCGGTTGATAGTAAGGATATTGATATTTATATTATTAATGTAATATAAGTTGATGGAAGTTTGTAAAGAATTCATGTCATGATTTGGTTTATGTTAAGAGAGGTAGAAGTAGACCTAAAAAGACTTGTTTAAAAAGTATTAGAAATGACATTTTTTTATTAAATGTAAATGAGAATCTGACTCTTAATATGACACAATGGAGAAAAAAGATTTATGTAGATGAGCCCATGTAGTGGGATAAAGACTTGATGTTGTTGTTGAAAAGTTTGTAAAGATCTACCAAACACAAACAAGATCATAGATCAAATATCTCGAAAGGTTAGTAAAGTATATTCATTATAAAATATGTAATAAATTGTTATTTAATATTTTTTATTATGAGTATGATTATTATGATAATCTTGCTGCATGATAGTAGAAAGTAATGATCTAGAATGGGAAATATGATGAATGGGATGAATCATATGATAGTGATGTGAAGAGCGATAGAACTAATGGATATTATGATGATTTTTTAGATGATCCTACTAATGTCAATGTTGATGTTTAGGGGCATAAAAGATTTGATTTAGGGCTTTAACATACCTTATTTAAAACATAAGTTACATATTTTTATGTTTTTTGAACTCATAGTTTCTATTCATTTTTGTGAACTTTTACTTAATGATTCTTTTAGGAAAAAAAAAAGATATCTTTTATGAATTAAAGTTATGCTTTTTGTGAACTAAGTGGGTTTTCTGATTTTTAATAATTATAGGGCATTATTTTTTTAATTTTGAAACCTATACCTCAATTCGATTTGAAACTTATGTTTCGATTCAATTGACACAATAGCCTCAAATCTCGATATAGTTTTCTTGAATCCTATGATGCATATACACCAATATGGCGATGTTGACCTCTAATGTAATAAAAAAAGGAGATAAAAAATATATATATACAAAATCATTACATACCTA